CCAGCAGCCATTGAAAGTGGCAACAATTTCGCCGATCGCAGCCCTCAGCGACGGTGAGGTCCCGCTCTGAGCCGCGCGGTGCATCACCCCGCTGGACCCACCAACAGCCCTCGAACGTAGCGACGGTTTCGCAGGTCGCAACCCCCAGGGACGGCGAGGTCCCGCCCAGATCCGCGCGGTGCCTCGTTCCGCTGGACCCACCAACAACCCTCGAACGTGGCGACGGTTTCGCAAATCGCAGCTCCCCAGGGACGGCGAGGTCCCGCTCTGAGCCGCGCGGTGCCTCACCCCGCTGGACTTACCAGTAACCATCGAAAGTGGCGACAGTTTCGCAGATCGCAGCCCCCCGGGGACGGCAAAGTACCGGTCAGATCCGCGCGGTGCCTTGCTCCGCTGGCCCCGCCAGCAGCCCTCGAAAAAGGCGACAGTTTCGCAAATCGCAGCCCCCCCAGGGACGGCGAAGTCCCGTTATGAGCCGCGCGGTGCTTCACTCCGCTGGACCCACACACAACCCTCGAAACTGGCGACAATTTCGCAGATCGCAGCCCCCCAGGGACGGCGAGGGCCCGCTCAGATCCGCGCGGTGCCTCACCCCGCTGGACCCGCCAGCAGCCCTCGAAAGTGGCGACGTTTCGCAGATCGCAGCCCCCCAGCGACGGCGAAGAGAGGGCAGGAAACAAGAGGGGGGCGGGGGGGCGGGAGGAGGAGGGACGCGACCGCCGTGCCTATTCAAATCGAATACCCAACCAAAGAGGGCTGGGGAAAAACTGTAGGTTCGGCAGAACCACTCGTAGAAGTAGTAGTCGGAGTCGTAATACTTATAGTTTTGGTAGAAACACTCATAGAAGTAGTAGCCGGAGTCCGAATACTTATAATAGTAGCTATTGTACTGAATGGAAACAACGCTCGCAGTAGTACTAGTCGTACTAAGTGTAATGTTAATCGTAAGTGTAATAGTATTCGTCGTACTACTAGTCGTAGCCGTAAGAATAATAATACTCATCGTCGTAAGTGCACTGATAGGATAATAATACCTAGTAATGGTAGCGTTCGTAATACTAGCTCAGTAATGGTAATATTCGTCGTACTAATAATAATCGCGAATGTACTGATAGTAGAAAAGGTTATAAACCGCCCCCCCCCCCCTCGGGGGGACCCTCGGCGACCATTCGATATGGGGAATACCATATCGAAGCCAATGTTTTCTTACACCGAAATGTTTCAACACCCCTTGGGGGAACCGCGAAGGGATATGTATGACACGGGCCCGTTCGCGGCCATTTTGCGGGGATGTCTCAGGCGGTTTGCTCGTTTGCGTGCTCAACATCCTTTGCGTTCAGAGCAGAGTGCGAGGATGTCTCAGGCGGGGCGCTGGTTTCAGCACCCGTAAGGGGAGGCGGGGGGGAGGCGCGTCAAACCCAATGCGACGATATAAAAGGGGCGGGTAGCAAGCAAGGAGAACGGAATAATGTAGATCAGAAGGTGGGAAGAATATGCCACCACCCGTTGAGCATTGCGTTCGAAGCAAGCGCTGCGCCTCAATGTGCACATTGGGCACTGCGCCCATGTGAAGAGCATTGTGCCCAACGAGAACCAGCGCTACGCTGAAGAAAGCAGGCGTTGCGCCTGAATCCCATCCCTGGGCATTACGCCCATAGGAAGAGCCTGACGCACAGCGTTTAAACATATTACACCCTTTCCTCCTAAGCGTTGCGCTCTTCTCTCCTACTGATAAAAGCCAGAGCATTACGCCCTGCTGTGGATCCCCCATAGTTTCCTCATTCTGAACAGGCATTGCGCCCTTGACCACACATTGGGTGCCACACCCCTTTGAAAAAGCATTGCGAAATGAATTGAATATTGCACTCCGCAGTGGCGCGCCGTGATCGGGTGGTGCTCCTGCTTCCCAAACCAGAACAACCATACAAACCAATGGAATCACAAGGAGAGAAGATAATAGTATTCATATTGAGTAATGGTGGACGGAACGGGTTCGCGGAGGAAGGGAGGAGGAAAAAGGGAAGTGGGATAACCGCAGGGACGGGGGAGAATACACCTCTGCTCTGTATCAGCGGCCACCAAACACTGTTATTTTCTATAAGGCCCATACCATCCGAAAACGAATGGCCACCAACCGCTGTTATGTTCTATACGTTTAGAATTTCTAGAACCCCAGCAACCATTCCAGGCGGGCCCGACTGGTTGCAGCAAGTATCGAAACCATAAACTTCTAGAAAAATAGCAGCGTGTGGTGGCCATTCGCTCTCGGATGTTATAGAACGTCACATCGTTTTTGGGTGGCCGCTGATACAGAGCATGAAAATAATGAGTAGTGGAGAAGAGGAGTGGGGAAACAAAAGCGGCGCCTCTTACCCGAGGGGTTTGGTGGGGGTCCCCTCGTAGGGGGGGGCCAAGGTATAGTCGTAGTACTAGAAAAAATGATCGTCGTAGTAACAGTGGTTGTAAACTCGTACTCGTCGTCGCACTAGTAGTCGTACTCGTACGTGGGACCAGTAGTAACACTAGCAGTAGTAGTCTTCGAAATAGTAGTAGAAGTAATGGTAATACTAGCAAAAGCATGGTAGTAGTAGTAGTAGTAGTAGTAGTCGAAAAAGTAGTAGTAGTAGTAGTAGTAGTAGTAGTAGCAGTAGTGATAGTAGTAGCGGTATTAACCGAAATAATATTATTACGAGTAGAAGTAGCGGAAGTAGTGGAAGTAGTACTGACCGTAGGTTTATACTATTTCTTGAGGTGGGAGATGTAGTAGTACTATAATGATGATAATGATAATCATAAGACGGCTAGTGGTAGTACTCCTATTAACAGAAATAGTGGTAATGCGAGCGGTTAAAATAAGTCGCTATAGAAATAGTCGGTGTGGTAGAAGCCGTGGTAGTAGTAGGTGCCGTCGTAGTAGCAGTGATAATAGTAGTTACAGCCGATGTAGTAGTAAGATCGGTAGTAGTAGTAACCGTATATCGTGAGGGTAGAAAGGAGATAATTAATCGTACGTCGACGCAGGCGAAGACAATAGTAGTCGTAGTGGCAGTAACAACCGTAATGGTAGCAATCGTAGCTGCAGTAAAAATGGCCATCGCAGTACTAGTATTCGCCGAGGTAAGTACAGTGGCGGTAGTCGTAGTAGAAGCAGTAGTAGTAATAGTAGTAGTAGTAGTAGTAGTAGTAGTAGTTGTAATAGTAGTAGTAGTAATAGTAGTAGTAGTGGTGGTAGTAGTAGTAATAATAGGAACAGTCGCCGTAGCATTAACAGTAGCAGAAGTATCGTAGAAGTCGCATTAACAGTAACAGTAACAATAACAGTAACATATGCAATCGATTCCACTGTAGTGGTAGTAGCAGCATTAGTGGTCGCACCAGTAGTACTAGCAGCCGTAGCAATAGTAGTGGTGGAAGAGGTAATAGTAGCTGTGATAGACGTAGTAGTAAATTTCGCAGCCGAAGTAATACTACCAGTCGTAGCTGCCGTAGAGAAGGAATAACCAATAGAACTGGTAGAAGTAGTAGTTTGAATGATAGCTGTAATAATCGTTAAAGTAGCAGTAGTAGCCACACTAGTGGCAGCAACAGTAGTACTGGTAGTAGCGGTAATAGTCGTAGTAGCAGTAGTAGTAGCCGTCGTAGTAGTAGTAGTGGTAGTAGTCGTAGTAGTGGTAATAGTAGTAGTAGTAGTAATAGTAATAGTAGTAGTAATGGTAATAGTCGTAATGATAAAAATAGTAATACAAAAAACGAAGACAAGACGAAGTCGTAATTATACGAATGCGACGTGGGTGTCGTAGTCGTAGTCGTAGTAGAAGTTTTAGTAGTAGTAGTAGTAGTAGTAGTAATAATAGCAGTAGTAGTGCAATAGTCATAGGTGTACTAATAGTCGTGGTCGTCATAATGATAGTGGTAGGAGTCGGGGTAGAAGCCGTACCATTGATAATAATAATGCTGGTGGTGGTAAACGGAAAAAATGTAGCCGTACGAATAGTAAACGTAGTAGCCGTAACGGTGGTTGTCGTAGTGTTGGTAGCAGTGGTATTGGGATCAGTCGTGGTCGTACTAGTAATCGTAGTCGTAGTCGAAGTAGTAGTCGTTAAAAAACAAATGGAATGATAGCAGTAGTCGTGGAAGTAGTAAGATGAGTAAGACTGGTACTGGTGCTCGCTGAATTCATCGTAGTAGTCGTAGTAATACTTGTCGTAGCAGGAAGAGAAGTTGTAAGAGTCGCAAAAACGGAAGTAGCAGTAGTAGTAGTAGTAGTAGTATCAGTAGTAGTAGTAGTAGTAGTAGTAGTAGTAGTAGTAGTAATCGATGTTGTAATACTAGTCGTAACAGTAGTAGTAGTAGTAGTAGTAGTAGTAGCCCTAATAGTCGCAAGAGTAATACTAGTTGTAAAATTAGTTGCAACCCTAATCGTATATGTAGTAGTCCTGGTAGTACCAGTTGTATCCGTGGTCAAACTTGTAGTTGCAGAAATAATACTAGTACTTGTTGCCGTAGTAGTAGAACAGGAGTAGTACTCGTAGTCATCGTAGTCGAATTAGCAGTAGATGCAGTAAAAGTAGTTAAAGCGTTTGCAGTCGTAGTAGTAGTAGTAGTAGTAGTAGTAGTAGTAGTAGTAGTAATAGTATAGTTAAAGTAGTAGGAGGAGAAGTCGTAGCAGTAGTCGTAGTAGTAGTCGTAGTCGAAGTAGTACTAGTAGTCCTAGCAGTAGTAGTAGTAGCAGCAGTAGTAGTAATAGTAGAAGTAGTAGTAATAATAGTCGTAGCAGTAGTAGTAGTAGTAGTAGTAGTAGTAGTCGTAGTAGTCGTAGTAGTAGTCGTAGTAGTAGTAGTAGTAGTAGTAGTAGCAGTAGTAGTAGTAGTAGTAGTAGGAGTAGTAGTAGTAGTAGTAGTAGTAGTATCAGTAGTCTGTCTGGGCCCTGGGCTGTCAACTCTCAGCGGGCATTGGAGGGGTATGCTGTAGTATCGGGGGCACGCTTTGCCTCTCGTATCCTGGAGCGCCGCAGCGAGGGCGCCCTGCGCGGCCTCCCCATACCCCTCAGTCGCGCCAGGCAGCTCGCCCACGGCGGCCGAGACCGCCGGCGCGCTCCGCGCGGCGTCCACGATGGCGCCTGTTGCTACAGTCGGGGCCTTGACCTAAGGAACCCAAAATAAGGAACGAGGCCCCTTCTTTCCATAAGTTAAACTTCGATGTCCGATCGAAAACATAAGGAAAACCTGAGGCAAGCTGCGAAACAACTAAGGAACGCGGAGCCCCTCCCCAACGAAAAGGGTTCCTTCTTCAGGGCCCCGACTGTACGGCGGCGCCTGCGCCTGCGAGCGACTGCCCACCCATGCTGGCGCTCCCCGCCAGCCTCTGCAGATCCTGCGCCGCCTGTTGGGCCGGGCGCCGGACAACCCCTGGGACCTCGGAGCCCGCGGCCCGGCCCAGCGCCTGGCTCACCTCCGAGCTGGGGCCGACGGAGGCGCTCACCGCGCCGTGGATGCCTTTCGCGCCGGCGTCCTGCGCGGCCTGCGCGAGCTTGGCTGGGGGGCTGTCGGCGAATCGAGACGCAGCACCTTCGATCCCGTTTGGCTCCGCCCTGGCAATCACCTCCGCCGCCTTGCTGGAGGTGACCTCGCTCACGGCCTCCTGGACGACACCCTGTTGGAGCAGCTCACCGAGGGTGTGCTGTGCAGCCTTCAAGGACTTCTCGGCCACGCTGGGCGGACCATGGACAGCTCCCTCCCCAAATGCTTCCTCCCCGGGCGCAGCTGACGCCTTGGTCGAGCCCACTAGTTGCTGCAATCGTGTTGCGGCCTTGCTGCTGCCAATGACGTCGCCCGCGACCGATTGGGAGTTTACCGGCGCGCTCTGTGCTGCACTCGCAACGGCATCCTTTGCCTTGGTGCTGTCCACCACGTTCAGCACTTGAGCCCCCTTGCTGGCGTCCGCAACGGCATCCGTTGCCTTGGTGGTGTCCACCTTTTTCAGCACGTGGACCCCCTTGCTGGCGTCTCCCGCCACCTTCTGCGGGTCTGCAGCCGCCAGTCGGACTTTCTCCTCCACGATCCCCCGCACATTTGGGTGGTCCTTGCTGACGGCCTCCACCGCCTTCCCGATGTCCCCGAGACCGAAGCCGCCCGCAAGAGCATCCCTGGCCAACAGCATCAAAGCGAGAACCTGGACGAGATGCTTCATGCCAACACTGCTCGCCATTTGAAATTGTGAGCGTTTTTTTATTCGGCGTTTCAAAATTGGGCGGAAGGGGGGGGGGAAGGGAGAGTCTGGCTCTGGACCTCTGCTCATTGCGACTGCTTGCAAACAGTGCGACCTGTGGGGGAGACTCCACCTGCTCGAAACAGGCGCCCCAGAACAGCTAAGATCTACTCCATGGAGGGGGATGGAGGGGGGGTGCGAGGGCCCGCGCCGATCGGCAAAACAATGAATAAAACAACGATCACATTGATGCAACTGTTTCTGCACAACCTTGCTAGGACCGAAACGGCTACATATGGCATGTGTATTCATCCATGCATTGAACGAGCACCTCCCGCCGTACGGCAAAACTTCGGTCGATGCTAATGTTCTCCGTCACTGCCTCCCCCCTCCTCCTCCTCCTCGCCCTCCCTCGCCGCCGCCCCATTCTCTTTCCTTCCCTTTCACTCCTCTCCGTCTCCCTCCCCCGTCCGCCTCCTCCTCCTCCTCCTCCTCCTCCTCTGCCTCCTCCTCTCCCGCCTCCTCGCAATCCTTTCCCTCCTGCTCTTCCTCGCTGCCCTCCTCCCCCCCCTCCTCGAGCCCCTCCGCCTTCCCCTGCCGCTGCGCCGCAGTGGCCTCCCGTCTCTTCCGCCCAGGCCCCTCCGCCACTCCCCCCCACGCTCACTGTAGGAGGCCGACTTCTGACCACACCCACTTCCCGAGGTGCCCTGCGAAAAGCGGTTTCCAGAGGTGGAGGTGGGCGGTTTCCCCGCCCCAGGGGAAGGAAGGCCTACCCACTTCCACCCCCGAGGGCCTATCATAGAATCGAGGATCCAGAGGTGGATGTGGTCAGAAATCGGTCTTCGAGCACTGCACCTCCCCCTCGCCGACCCGAGGGACGGGCCTCGCGGCTTGGAATGGGGGGGGCAGCGCAGGACACCGCGGCCAGCCTGAGAGGCGCCCGGCGGCGAGGCCAGGAGGCTCCCATCTCTGCCGGGCACCAGTGAAGGGGCCCTGGGACACACAAATAGATACACACAAATACAACGATTCCCAATATTTTCCCATATGTTCTGGTTTTCTGTCTTCTCCACCACTTCCAATATTTTCCAATATTTTCTGGGGAGTCGACGATTCATTGTGTCTGTGTGTTTCTTTCCCTCCTGAACCAAACAGGGAGGACACCTCCGAAGGCCTCCAGGAGTCCCCGAGGTCGCGGTCCAAGAGTCCCGCGGTGGAGAACCAGCGCCGCCAAGCATGTCGACCCTCTTCCTCCTGATCCTCCACCTGGAGGGGTGGAACAATCCAAAGTTCTGACGCCGCAACTTCGGGGTCCGTGGAACATTCCTTTTCGCCATGGAAGGAAAGATGGGGAGAACGCTAGGTTCTAGCGCTTGGTCCTTGAAGTTTGGTATGCACGGCGGATCTCGCCGCCTTGCCGACACATCGGCGATGCATCGCCGATGCGGGCCTGGTTCGGATGAGACCTAGTCTCTCCAAGTGTTTCCCGCAGCTTACAGGGGCGTCGATCAGCCTCCGTCTGCCATGCAGCCGAGAGAATATGAGCGTGTGTGTGTGTGTGGTCTGTGTGTGGATGCCGGGCCTTAGTGGGCCCTGGACACGACAGGGCCGTACTTTTACCGGTTCCGTTTTGCCGGTTCCGACGCCGTTCTTTTACCAGTTCCGTCGCCGTTTTTTGACCAATTCCGGCTCCGAAGCCAATCCTGGAGCCGTTTTTGTACCCTTTCCGGTCGCCGTTTTCTTGCCGGTTTCATTGTCAAGAGGCATTTTCTGGGAAACGGTGGAAAAAACGGCCCTGTCGTTTCCGGGGCCCACACAGTGCCGGGCCCCCAGAATCGACGGCCTATCGTGGCCCCCCCTCGTCGCCCCTGCTGCGGGCAATACTTATATCCATATCCACAGCGTCGTGGACTTGTTGGGAAGGGGTGCCGCAAGGCCGAGGCACACTGGATATGGGTAATAATCGAACCCTCTGGGGCAAGATTTCTATCCACATCCAGTGCGCCTCCAGTTTCTGGGGAAGAGAGCCCCGAAGCTCCAAGACGCACTGGATGTGGATCTAACTGTTGCCCGCCCCTGCCGGTGTGTGTGTGTGTGGTGTGTTTGTGTGTGGGTGTGTGTGTGTGGGTTTGTGTGTGTGTGGGTGCGTGTGTGGGTGTGTGTGTGTGGGTTTGTGTGAGTGTGCGTGTGTGTGTGTGTGTGTGTGTGTGGGTGTGTGTGTGTGTGTGTGTGTGTGTGGATGCCGGGCCCCCGGAATCGACGGCCTATCGCGGCCCCCCCCTCGTCGCCCCTGCCGGGCCACCCGGATCGGAGGCCCGCGGCTGCCCCCCGCCGCGGGCCGTGCAGAGCTGTGCGGGGCCGCCTGCCGCACGGGCGCCACTGCGCCACGGCCCTCCGCCGCACGGGCGCCGCCGCCGCGCGGCCCAGGGGCAGCCGGGGCGGGCGATCGGGCGCCGCTGCCCGTGGGGAGGCAGTGGAATGAGGGAGGCGGAAGCGTGCACAAATGTGCGCACCCTCCTTCGTCGCCCCCCCCCCCACTACGCAACGCCCGGGAGGAATCGGCGCGAATCGATGGGGGGGGGGGGCGATACGGTGGAGGGGGGGGACAGGTGCCCTTTTTCCAGGCCCTCAGTTCCTTTTTTTGCAGCCCTCGCTGCCCCTCCATTCGTCGCCCCACCCTTACGCGTCCTCCGAGAGGAGGAGGAAGAGGAAGAGGATGAGGAGGAGGAGGAAGAAGAGGAAGAGGGGGAGGAGGAGGAGGAGGAGGAGGAGGGAGGAGGAGGAGGAGGAGGAGAGGAGAGGAGGAGGGAGGGAGGAGGAGCGGAGGAGGAGGGGGAGGAGGGGGAGGGGGGAGAGGAGGACGAGGAGGAGGAGGAGGACGAGGAGGTGGAGGAGGACGAGGACGAGGACGACGACGAGGGCGAGGTTCAGAACGAGGAGGAGCAGGAGGAGGAGGAGGAGGAGGAGGAGGACGAGAAGGAGGACGAGGAGGAAGGGAAGAAAGGAGGAGGAGGAGGGAGGAGGAGGAGGAGGAGGAGGAGGGAGGAGGAGGGAGGAGGGAGGAGGGAGGAGGAGGAGGAGGAGGAGGGAGGAGGGAGGAGGGGGAGGGAGGAGGGGAGGAGGGAGGAGGGAGGAGGGAGGAGGGAGGAGGGAGGAGGGAGGAGGGAGGAGGGAGGAGGGAGGAGGAGGAGGAGGGAGGAGGGAGGAGGAGGAGGAGGAGGAGGAGGAGGAGGAGGAGGAGGAGGAGGGAGGAGGAGGAGGAGGAGGAGGAGCATCGCGGAGCCATGTAATGCGGCGTGCCCACCAGCGTCTGGCAGGCGTGCCCGTGCACCTGGGCGGTGCCCCCCTCCTCCCCTCCCCCTCTTGCTCGTCTCGGCCCCTCCTCTTCGCTCCTCCTGCTGCTGCTCCTGCTGCTGCTCCTGCTGGTCATCCTCCCCCTCCTCTTCGGTGTCCCCCCTCCTCCTGGTCCTCCTCCTCGCCCGCATTCTCCCCATTCTGCCAACGCGTGTTCCTCTTTTTCCGCGTCCTCCTCCTCGTTCTTGTTCTCGTTGTTATCCTCGTCTTCGCCGTCCTCGTCGTCGTCGTCCCCCTCTTGCCCTTGCCTCTACAAGCTGTTCTGCGCGTCGACAGGAGCCTGGACCACCACCTCGCGAATCCAGTACGTAGTCGAGCGAAGAGCGAAAGGGTATGACTCTTCAGGCGGGCCGACCCAGCGAACAGAGAAAAAAAGGGCCTGGACGCGCGGGGGAGCTCGGAGCGGGGACGACAAGCGGAGGAGGATATCATGAGGAAAGGGCGACAGGCAAAGAACAGTAACAGAAACGAAACATGAGAGCCGGGAGGAGGGGACTGATAGTAGCCGCCCACATCCGGGAAGACCCGTAGCCACGAACCCCACCAGCTCTTGAGGGCGTGAGTGGTTTAAAACGCTTCCACTTCCAACCCCCTTCGTCCCCTTGGGGGACGGGCTGATCCCGCCCCCGACGCCTTCGCTGGACCTGGATGGGAAGTTTCGCGACCCATTGGAGCGCCCAAGAAGGCCCTCAACGAAAGGCGAACATGATTGATGCCATGGAGGTGTTGGGCCCATTTTGACCTCCTGGTTGGGCGACGCAAATTAAGCTCCCCAATTTTGATCGACGCCCTCCGAGATGGCCCAAAGACGGCCCCCAAGGCTCCCGCGAGCTCCCCAGAACAGCACCAAGAGGTGCCGAGGCCCCCAAGACGCGCCCAAGAGGTCCCCAAGAGGCCCCCAAAACAGGCCGAAGAGGCCCCAGGAGGAACCCCTGAGTCCTATGTTGTCACCACCATACTTAAGGACCACATCCTAAAAATACTTTCGGACACCCCCAAAAAAAGAATCGAAACAATGTCGAACGACTTTCGACTCCCAGGGCCCGACACGTGAAACACTTCCAGTTTCGGTACGTCCCTGTTGCTCGAAAACATGTCTGGTGATCGAGGCAAAAGGTGGTTGGAACATCGTAACCTGAAACATCCAAGAGGCCCCCGGGGCCGCCGAGAGGCCCCCAATACGGCCCAAGAGGGCTCCAGGAAACATTCATCGTGCATCCGAAGAGACCCCGAGAAACATCCAAGAAGCCTCTGGCCGTTCTGCTCGCCCTTCGTCCCCTTCGTCCTCCTCTTCCTCGTCTGGCTCTTCTTCCTCGTCCCTCCTCCCCCACCCACCCCTCTTGAGCAGGGACCGAACGCCCAAGCATTCCTACAGGCCTACCACGAAAGGTTCTTAGAACACAGAATGCTCGAAAAACAAAAGCAATGCTCGCAGAACGTAGGCCCGATGTGTTAAAACAAGACAGTCTCAACCAGACATGTTATCATAACATTTCGTGCGAACAGCACAAAGATCTTATAACATGTTTTGGTCGGCCAATAAGAGAGCTAGGACGCTTCGCCACTGCTTGACTGTCCCTAGCCGACCTCCTCCGATTCCTCCTCCATCCTCCCCCTGTTAGAGTACGACGTCCTGCCCGACGCCAGGCACCTGACTATGCTGTGGGAGATCAGCAAGGATATGGCTGCAGATGTTCCCTCCCTTCCCGCCTCCCTTTCCGCCGCAGTCGGACTTGACGCAGCAGCGCTTTCGATGCCAGCCCCGGCTGCGGCGACGCAAGGGGCAGAGGAAGGAGGAGGACGACGACGACGACGAGAAAACCGAGGGCGAGGACGAGGACGACAGCGACGACGATGTGTTTTGTGGGATTCATTCCATCCAGAACGGTCGCCGGGCCCCGGAACCGTCGGAAACGGTACTTATCCTCCTCGTCCTCCTCCTCCTCCCCCTCCTCCTCCTCGTCCTCCTCCTCCTCCTTCTCCTCAGCCCCCCCTTTCTACTCAACATCATCCTGCTAGTTCCCTTGCCCTCTTCGCGTTCGTCCTCGCGGTCCTAGTCGTCGTCCTCCCCTCCCTTGGCTGTTCCTGTTGTTTTTCTTTCTTCTCGTCGTCGTCATCTCTCTCCTCCTCCACCTCCTCCTTCTCCTCCTTATCTTCCTTCTTTTTCCATCTGGGAGCGAGTTATCCCATCCGGCGGGATAGAAGGTCTGGCAAACATACCACAGGGCATGAGGTTCAAAGCGATTGCTTGTCCACCATCCTTCCCTCCCGAACCCGGCCAAACCAGACACCGGCCAGACCAGCCAGACAACCAGACGAGACAGACCAACCTAAGCTAGCTGAAAAGCCAGCAGCGAACCTACAGCTAGTACAAAATTGCAGCTGAAGCTCTAGCAGCGAAACTACAATTTTGCCATGATAGTGATTGGCGTTGCCTCCCCGGACCTGCCCTAAACCACTGTCGCCCGAATCCCAAGCTAAAGCTTGAGCGATCAGCCGATAAGCTCAAAGCAGACCAACCAGGCCAGCCAGACCAGATGCAAAGAAAATGTACAAAGCAAATGAAACTGGAACGCAACAACAACTGTTTTGCTGTGGTAGTGGTTGGCGCTGCCTCCCTGAAGCGCGCCTAAACCACTCTCGCCCGAATCCTAAGCGAAAGCTTCAACACTAAGCGAAAACCAGACCAGCCAGACCAACCAGACCAAATGCACAAAAAACTGCAACGAAAAGAAAAATGCAAAGCAACAATAAAGACTGAACCTCCCAAGGTAAAGCCTGAACACTAAACTCAAACGAAATTAACCAGACCGGCCAGACCAGATACAAAAAAACGCAACGCGCAAAAAACTGCGAAGCAAACAACTACAATGCACAACAAAACGGCTTTCCGGTCGCAATCGCTGGCGCTGCCCCTTTGGAACTTCCCTAAACCACTCTCGCCGGAATCCTAAGGTAAAGCTTCAGCAGGAAGATCAAACCAGACCAACCAGACCAGCCAGACCAGATGCAAACAAAAGCTGCAATGCAAAAGAACTGGTGTTCGGTGGTCGTGGTGGTTGGCGCTGCCCTCCTGGATCTCCCCTAAACAGCCAAACAAAACGGCAAGACAACGGCAAAGCAAAGGCAAAGCAAAAACAACTGCAATGCAAAACAAGTGCTGTTCGGTGACCTGGACCTCCTCTGAACCACTCTCGCCCGAACCCTAAGCTAAGGCTTCAACACTGAGCGCGAGCCAGACCAACCAGACCGCCCATACAAGATGCAGCAAAACCTGCAATGCAAAGAAAACTGCAAAACAAATAAATTTCAATGCAACATAACTGTTTTTCGGTGGTCGTTGCGGTTGGCGCTGCCTCCCTGGATCTCCCCTAAAACACCCTCGCCCGAAGTTTAAGCTAAGGCTTCAGCACTAAGCCCACACCAGCCCGACCAGACCAAACAGACCTGATGCACCAAAAAACTGCAATGCGAAACAAAAATCAAAGCAAAACAACTGCAATGCAACAAGCAATGTATTGTCGGCGGTTGTAGTGGTTGGCGCTGCCTTTCGGGACCGAATCCAAAGCGAAAGCCCCAGCACTACGCTCCAACCAGACCAGCCAGACTAGCCAGACCAGATACACACCGAACTGCAATGCAAAACGACTGCAAAGCAAACAACAACTGCAGAGCCAAATCACCGCAATGCAACAAGTGTTTTCGGTGGTCGTAGTGATAAGCGCTGCCTCCCTGAAACTCCCCTAAATCACTCTCGTTTGAACATTAAGCCAAAGTTGCAGCTCTAAGCGAAAACCAGACCAACCAGACCAGATGCCTCAAAAAGCGGACAAGCAAAAACAACTGCAATACAAAACAACTGTTTGTTTTCCGGTGGCATCCCTGGACCTCCCTAAGCCAACCTGGCCCGAATCCGAAGCTAGGCTGCAGGACTAAGCTCAAGCCAGACCGACCAGACCCGCCAGACCAGATGCAGAAAAATGTATTGCAAAAGCGACTGCAATGTTAAAGCTTCAGCAAGAAACGCAAATCAGACCAATCAGACCAACCAGGAGGGCGCGACGCTGGATCCCCCAGATGGAGGGGGGACCCCCCCCCCTTTTCCCCGATCCGTCGTCGGGGACCCCCCCCCTTTCCCGATCCGTCGTCGGGGCCCCCCCCCCTCCCCCCTCCCTTTCCCGATCCATCGTTGGGGAACCTCTTCCCCCCTCACCCCCTTTTAAAAAAGGGGGGGGGGGGTCCGACCCCCCCCCCCTCCTCCCTTTGAACGCCAAAATCGCCCCCCCCCCCCCCCCTCCCCCCCTTTCGCCAGGGCGCCCGAGGTTCCGAACCCGACCCCTACCACCCCTAACACTAATCCTCACCCTCACCCTAACACCCAACCCTAGCCCCAACCCCTAACCCTAGCCCCAAACAGTACTCACTACTCACAACGCACTCACTACCCACTACCCACTACTCGCTACTCACTACTCACTTCTCACTACTCACTACTCACGACTCACTATTCAATACTCACTACTCACTAACGACTACCCACTACTCACTTCTCCCTACTCCCTACTCTGGACTCACTACCCACTGCTTACTACCAGCTACTCGCTACTCACTACCCACTACACAAAAACTCACTACTCACTAAAAGAACTCACTACCCACTACTCGCGAATCACAAATCACGACTCAATACCTACTAACCACTACACACTAATCACTACTCACACTTCAATACTCACTACTCGCTGTTCACATCTCACTACTTACTATCCACTACTCGCTACCCGCTACTCCCTACACGGTACTTGCTCACGATTCACCACTCACTGCTCGCTACTCTCGAAACCCTTCTCGCTTCCCAATACGCACTATTCACTACCCACTACTTACTACTCACTACGCACCCACTACTCCCTACTCACTACCCACTACTCACTACTCACTACGCGCCCACTACTCACTACTCACCACTTTCTACTCACTACCCACTACTCACTACTCCTTACTCCTACCCGCGACCCCCACCCCGTGACCCACCCACATTGCTTCAACGAAAAAAAAACTGCGCTTGCGGCGGGGTTTCTTAAATCCTCGCAGACTGCCGACCCCCACGCCGCCCTCTCACTCTTATCCGCAACTGCGGGGTGATACGAATGTACTTTGACGTCCTGGGAGGTGCCTCCGCCGGCTGCGGCCGAGCCCACCTCCTTGGGACACCCCAGCTTCTGCGGGCTGAGGAAGAAGAGTGGCGAGTATGGGCGAGGAGGAGAGAGGCGGGAAGAGAGGAAGGGACAGGAAGCGCAGGGAAGTTTAGGGAGGAAGAGGGAGGGAGGGAGGGAAAAGGAGGGAGGGAAGCCAAGGTGGGAAGGAGGGAGGGGCGAGGAGGATGGAGGAGGAACGAGGAGAAGAGACAAGGGGGTGGCACGGCCGCACCTTCTTGGCGCAACCGAAGTCGATGAGCTTCGTGTAGCCGTGGTGGTCGAGAAGCACCTGCCAGCGGGAGGGCCGGATTCGGTAGCAGGCTTTCACTGGGGTGTGGCCCAAAAGTGCGTACGCGGGCGGCGGCGGGCTTCGCGAAAGCGACATCCGTACCCGCGGGCACCACGCCCAGTGGGTGTGCACCTCTCGGGCGGGCGCCTCTGCGCACAAAAAAGGCGACTCGGCCTGCGACCACATCGCAATGCAGGGGGAACCTCGAGTCGGGCTTTGGCAAAACTACTTAGACTTTGGTGGGACCTGGTTTAGTGATGTAGACTGAGGGGCGCCCCCCACCAGCCCTGTTCCGCTAACCGGAACTGCCGTCGCCCGAGAAAACACCAGCTACGGCAGACCCGGTTTAGTGATTCTGGCCAATTGACGGGCTCCAGGGCCCTACTACTAAGCTTAGGTCGGGCATCTCCCCCTACAGGCGTATTTCGGACGAAAAAGCCAACATACCCTAAACATTTTCAAACATAGTCCAAAATATTGAAAAGTCGCCCCCTTGCCTGGTCCTGGCTATGCTTAGGTCGGGCATGTCGTTCTACAGGGGAAGTTGGACGAACAAACAAACACAAATTCACAGAAAGTCCAGAAATTATCCAACATAGTAAAAACATCGTTCCCAGGCAATGTTTTAAATATGATGTTTTGAATATTCCTCCCCTGCCCTAGTCCCCTTGCCTGGGGTCATGGCTATACTAGTCCTCCTAGATGGGGTCGGAGTAGATGGGGTCGGAGGATCACGCCGCATCGCCGATGCATCGGCGATGCATCGGCGACGTCGGCGATGTATCGCCGACGTCGGCGTGGAGAAAATCGGGCTCGGTATCGAGCCGCATCGTCGATGCATCGGCGATGCGGCGCGATCCTCCGACCCCATCTACTCCGACCCCATCTAGGAGGCCGAGATATGATTAAGTCGAGCCTGTCCCCCTACAGGGGAATTTTCGACGAAAAAGAAAAACAATACTAAACAAAATGCCCCCCAAGTGGGGAAAAATAGTCACAAAATCGTCCCCCGACTATCTTTTGACTGTTTTTACATGTTCCCCCTGTAGAGGGACAGGCCCGACATAAGCCGGGGGGGGCCAAGAGGGGGGTGTCCAAGAGGGGGGGCGCAAATCATGGCCGGCGGCACGTGCGCGGCCCAGGGGGGGGGAGGGGGGGGGGCAGGGACGTAGTGAAACAAGGAGATGCGCCATGAGATCTGGGGAATTATCATGACCATGCCCCGTGCCATGATGCCCCCCCCTCTGACCATCGCTCGGACGTCCATTCCCTATGTTTGTTTCGGTTTCGTGCGTGGTTTTTTCGCCAAATGATCGAGGATGCTCCTCGATGGCCGTCGCCTAAGGAAAAACGCGCACGTCCGAGCGATGCCGAGCCCTAGTCATCACCCCCTCTTTTGCCGCCCCCGACATAAGGCTGTACTCCAGATTTCCTAACAAAGGGAGGGGGGTCTCATTTCGGGGGGGGGGGGGTCTCCTCCAGGCTATCCTGGAGGGCCTGGGGGGTCTGGGGACGATGTTTTGGGGGGTTCTCCCACGGGGGAGGTCTGAAATTGCTTGTCTTGGAGGGTCCAGTCCCCCTCCCTTTTATTACGAGATCTGGAGTACCCGATCGAGCCCCCCGAGCTCGACGTCCAGGGCGAGGGCACCGCGCCGGGTCGGGCGCGCGGGCCCCGGGGCCGCGCGGCAGCCGCGCCCCGGTTGCACGGGCGGCCGGGGGTCCACTCGGGCATGTCTGAAGGGGCCCTGGGACACACAAATAAATATACAAAAGCAAGAGGATCCCCCACATGTTCTCTCGTATGTTCTGGGTTTTCGTCTTCCCCCCCCCTTCCCATATTTTCCCATATTTTCCGAGGGATCGACGATCAATTGTGTCTGTGTGCTTTCTCCCGTCCTAACTGTGCCCCTACAGGAGGAATAGAAAAAAATAGTTTTTAACAAAAAGTCGGGGCACAATTTTGTTTGGACTATGTTTGGCCCATTTGGGAGCATGTGTTGGCAATTCTTAATTTTTCGCCCGAAATCCCCCTGCAGGAAGAGAGGGCCGACTTAACTCTGGGGGCGAGGGGAGCACGGAGGGAGGGGAGGAGATAAGATAAGACAGCGCCTCGAGAAAGGCCCGACGGTGATCGCACCGAGGACTGGCACGGTTACCAAAGTTGTGAAGGGGCCCAAGGACACACAAACAATACACACAAACAACATGGTTCCCTATATTTCCCTACCTAGGCTCTGCCTAGAAGGGTTCTTACTCTCTGTGCTTAAAAGGCCGGGCAGTGGGAACCGGCCCGGGCGGTTCCCCCGGTATCCGCCCCGCGGTTCCCCCAGTTACGTCCCCTTAGCTTAGCGTTGCTTATCTCATCTTAGCTTGGCTTGGTTCATCTTAGCTTAGCTTAGCTTCAGATTAGCTCAGGTTTATCTTAGCTTAGCTTACCTGCATCTTAGCTTCGCTGAACTTTGGCATAGCAGAGCACAGCACAGCACAGCATAGCGTAGCATAGCGCAGAATATCATATCATAGCATAACCCAGCATGACATAGCATAGCTTAGCATAGCATAGTATAGCGCAGCATAGCATAGCATAGCGCAGCACAGCACAGCATGGCATAGCATAACATAGCAACTAATGCTGCTTTCCTAGGGGCTCCAACTTCTAGGTAGGGTCGCACTGGGGTATTTCCCATAGTTTCTGTTTTTGTTTGTCTTCCCGCCCAATCCCCATAGTTTCCCACATTTTCTTGGGGATCGTCGATCCATTGTGTCTGTGTGTTTTCTTCCCTCCTGAAGTTGTGCTGTCGGAGGATTGGCCCCTGTGGCCCTCGCTCTCTCGAGGAGGGCAGCCATTCTCTGCTCATGCCGCGGGGCGGTGCCACTCGGGGAGAAGCCGCTGGGGACGGACGACTAAAGGGGCCCCAGGACACACAAATAAATACACACACATAAAATGTCCCCCCATATTTTCCTATATGTTCTGGGTTTCTGTCTTCCCGCCCACTTCCCATATGTTCCCAGATGTTCTGGGGAATCGAAGATTCATTGTGTCTGTGTGTTTGTTTTCCTCCTGACCGACGGCGCACGCACAGAGGGAGGGGAAGAGAGCGAGAGAGAGGGGGGGAGGAGGAAGAAGCACAAGTGTATCACAAACAACGCCTGGAGAACAGGTCTCGGGCGAGGGAGGCCTTCTCTCTCTTCCTCCCGCTCCGTCTGTCGGTGTGTCTCGCTTCCTCTGCACTCGGGCCTGGGCCAGAGTGAAGCCCTTCAAGAACAGGAGCCCCTCCGTCGGCCAAAACAAACACAACATCCAGGGGTACCCACCACAGGATGCACGAGAACCCCCAACAAACAAGAAGAACACGAGGGTCAATCACTAGGGGACCCTCCCAAAACCGACCTCGATCTGATACCTCGGTCCGACTGTATGTCTCTCTGCCTATTCTCCTCCCTCACCTCCCCCTGCGGGTGTCGAGGACGGCGCCCCCACCGGCCCTTGGGGAGCGGCTCTGAACGACGGTCCTGCAGATCCTGCGGCCTGCTGCCCCGAATCCCACCAACCCTTTTGGGCGTAGGTGATAATTCGTTGTGTCTTCTCCCTCCTCAAAATCCCCCTCTTCCCCCTGCTCGGGGGGAGTTTCCCCTCTCCCTACCCCCTCCCCTGGGTCTGGGGGTCGTGAGGCGTTAAAGCCCCCGAGATTGCGCAAGATGGCTTCAGGAGGGCCTCGGAGACCTCAAGATGGCCTTTAATATGGCCCAGTGAAAATATAGATGGTTCAACATAGCATCCGACGCACACCAAAGAGGCCTCAGGACGGCCCAATCGGGCTCGTAGATGGTCGAGGGCAGCGAGCCCAGACGAAAAAAACACGACGCACGAGGCATCGATTCGTGACCGCAGCACTCGACCATGCATCCCCCTGCTTGCGACGTCGCTGCATGCGTGTGGACGACGTATCATATGTAGCCAAACTCGACCGACACTCCGCGCCGCCCGTCATTCAGCAACACTTCCAGGGGCCCCCATCCACCGCCACGGGCCTCTGATTCACCTGCGGATGATCCTTGGCGCGCTGGGCGTCCAGACCCCGAAGCAATGACGCATCCAACTTCGCGAAATCCGAGCGAGACTCCGTGTCCTCGAAGAGCTTGCCTATGCACCAGCCGCCCTCCCTCAGCTCCTGCAAAAACCACTCAGCATCCACCAGGGCGCGCAAGCTCTGGACATTTTCTGCAACCCTCCGCGCCCATGTATTCGCCAACAGACTCAAGCATCCCGAGCAAAACGTGGTCTCCTCCCTCTCGAGGCGGCAGGCCGCAAACTGCTGCCCGCACTGCCGGCGATTTGCAGGGCGCGCGGCAATCCGCTGAAAACGTTTTAGCCGACGAACAGGAAGCTCGACCTCACTGGGCGACGCCCCCCAGAAGGCTCGAACACCGTCCGACGTCCAGGAACATCGCTGCTCACCCTCCACTCTATGAGCCTGTCTCAGGAACGCTTTTTCTTTGCAGCGAGTCGAGGACCGAGCTAAATCCGCCAGTTGTGCCTCCGTCGGGAGGAACGCCTCAAGGTTCTGAGCCGCCGTGCCTAGCACGACCCCGAGGAGCATCGATCTCTTGAACGTGACGGGGGCCTCCCTGAGGTGGCAGAAGCCGCGCTGGGAGTAGGTGCGCGCGATTGACAGCCGCCCTCCTAGCCCCCGCTCTCTCGAACGAGCAGCACCGGGACGCCCCTCAGCAACAACCTGCGCCCCTAGATCTGAACCGGCTGGGACCGCCTCTCCTGGGCGCGCAACCTGGCGACGCTGGATTCTGCGACATTCCTGATGAGCCCCCTCCCCAATCGAGTTCAGCATGACAATATGTTCCTCGGCGTTTTGCATGCCGCCGTCAGCGAGCATGGCCTGCGAAGGTCACGAAAACGAGCTCAACGTTGCATGTGCCAGAGACTCAACCAGGTCCACTGCGCGCCCCAGATGCAGCCGACGCAGATCGCGCGCGTGCTAACAGATGAGGCCGGCGCAGGTCACGAGCGTACTAACACGTGGCGAAATAAAAAATAATAGCTGGCATGGAGCTACGCAGATCATGGTCATTCATCAGCTTCTCGACGTCGCCGCGCAGCCATAGCAGGCTGGAACGCCCAAGTCAACGCTGCCACCATGAACGGGTCGCCCACGACGAGGCCACCGACTTGCGGCAAAAGAAGAAGGTCAGCACCGCGGCTGGGAACAGAAATGCCATATTGTTCTACTCACTGCCGAGCCACACATCGAACCGATCCATCATGTAGAATACCAGCTGCATCCACAAGTCGGGGCTGTTGAATGCGACCAAAGGCATTTGTCACATCAAAGAACTGATTGCCAAGACTCCCCCCCCTCTCGCGCTCGCCAAGCAGCCGCATTGCTGACTAGTAGAGGCATCTTCATGCAACGCCCCTTCTGGTAGCCGTGCACCGAAGGTTCCATGCGAATGCGTCTCGTTCCAGGGCATGCCGATTTGAAGTGGAAGATGAATCCAGCGCTTGCCTGGTGGCCCTTCATCATAGGTCTCATGCAAGCCCGCTGCGCGGCTACAATTCCAGCACCGAGGACGACATCCAGCCGTCCGAATGCGCAACCAACCCATGAAGACAGCACACATAACGTACAAGGTGGGCCGTCCCACCTACTCAGCTCGAAGACCTCCTCGTTGCTGTCCTGGTCAAACTCCAGCTCCAGGGCCGAAGGCCATGTCCCAAAGCTCGTCACGGGCCGACCTGGCCGGCCCCGCTTTCCGCTTTGCCATGCCCCTCAAGGCACGGCTTACCTTCCTCACGTCTTCCTGCACACTCAAGTCCAGCAGCGGTCCCTCCACCGCGGGCACTGCAGGCCGCGCGAAAAGCCCGCGCGCCTGCATGCCGCCATCGCCGCCCTCCGCGCCCCAGAAGGTCATCTGCTCGTTGCCGGTGGGCATGGCCGTCCGTGGCGCAAGGTGGTGCCTATGTGTCGGTCCCTCCGTACATCCAGCAGCCAGTCGAGCATATCTAGCCACTCCATACGTATCTAGCATCTTCTATGCCTCCTGCATCGTCTCCGTGGAAGCAGCCCCCCTCGCCTCAGCATCCCCTTTGCCCATCTTCCTGAGCATCTTCGTAAGACCCTCACTTGTGGCAGATATGGGAGTCTCCAACTCATCATCATCATCAGCCGCGCCTCCAAATCGCTGTCGCACAACTGCACCTGCCTTCAGAAACCGCATCGCGCCCGCCTGCCAGAGCACGCGCTCCCAAGACCCAAAAAGCTGATCAGGATAGGCTAACTGTGCAGAATGCTGCCTTTGCCCCTGAGATTCCTCCATGATCCGTCCCACTTCATCTAGGACATCTCGCTGCTTGTAGCTGCCCCTCATCGCCGTCACCAGATAATTTCTATACAACCGCTGGCCACCCGTGAAATCAGGAGGAGCAGGCCCTCGGATGTCTCGACCAACTGGCCCCTGAGGTCGCCGACGCTGAACCATGACAAGTACACGATCCTTCCTCCGCGCAGTGGGTGTTCGCTAAGCCTACGACCCTTGCCCAGCAGCGCTCCACCACGGTTGGCCGCTGACGACAAAGCCAGTGGGGTAGCTGCATGATCAGTTATGGACTGACTTCCACTTCCATTTAAAAGTTGGTGCAGAAGACCTCGTCGATCAAATGCCCACGAAGTGGGTCTCCATCACTTTTCGGAAGGCAGCACCAGCACAATGTTCCAGCGAGGCGCCAAACGATGGCACTGTAGCCGTGCCCTCGAGCACCTGGAAGTCCTCCCCCCGACTAGCCCCGACGCCGTCATTGAAGTCCGTCAGCACAACTGGTGTAGACCTCGCAAGACAGCGAGCGAGCTCACATTGAAGCCGGCGTATCAGCTTGAAGGTTTCACTAAGCCTGCAGTCTCACCTAGGTGACACGCGGCGGAAAATACATGCACATCAAGGTGAAATCCTCGCTCTTGCTCTGAATGCGTGTCGCTAGGCATCGACCGGTCAGCTCAAGTGAGCCTCCTGTCGCGCTCCCAACATGATGTTCCTTGAATCTGGCATGCAACAAGAGTGAGATCCCACACGAGCGATTCGCACAACTAGCTCCTCTCAAACATCCAACCTTTAGAAAACGCCTGCCTTAAATGTAGCGCCGTTGCACCGGAATGTCACGTACACGAAACTGTGTGACAACAAGGGCGACCGCACATATATACTTCGAGACTGCCGCATTGTCCTCAAGCCTTGGTCGTGTAAAGGCGGCCAAAGGATGGAATTGCCAGACGCACCAGTACGGACCTCCAGCCGCGTTGACGCTTCGCCGCAGAACCATCAGTAACAGGCCATGACTGATACCGAGAGCGGTCATCATGAAAACTGCATACGGACCAGCCCAGCGCAGAAGGAGTGACTGCTCGGATGCGCCTGTCGCTCAATAAAACCTCGAGTCTATACGGCGACTTGATGATGATGATGATGATTATGATGATGAGAAAGATGTTGGTGATGACGATGATCGTGATGATGATGATGGTGATGATGATGACTATGAGGATGATGGTGAGGATAGGGAGGATATGACAAGACGAATCACATTCAACCCCATCCGAGTGTGAGCGATTGTGAACTGTGCAGATGCGCAGCTGAGCAAAGCCATTACGGACAGAACACCGAAACCACTTCCAAGTGCCGTTGAGCTGCGAGCCTGTTATGAACAGAGCGTGCCTACAGGCCAAGCCTCAATGCGAGAGGACGGTACCCTCCAGGACCGGAGAGTCCAAAGGCACGTCCCCGCAGTGACTGACGACTGACATGACCGTGTGAGGCATGACTGTCACATCCCGTGGAACGACAGAGACCCCAAACAGCGCGAGAACGAGCGGGACAGGAGGAGGACGAGGAGTCGGACGGCGAGGCCGAAGACACGAGAACGTCCAAACAACACGGTCCTCCTCCTGTTCGTCCTCTGAGCTCGAACTGCCCCTCCTCCCAAGCGACGACGACAACGACGATAGCGGCGAAGACGAAAGCGGAGACGACGACCACAACGGTGATGAATGACGACGACGACGACCACCACCACCACGGCGACGACGCTGCTGCCCTCCGCGCCCGAAAAGCCACTGGGGGCCGCCGAGGGCCGCCCGAGGCCGCCAGAGGGCCGCAAACGGCCGCCGAAATGATGCCCTTAATGGCTTAACGACCTCTGCCGGCATTCGACTCGCGCTTGCGCGGCCACGATTCGATCCGAATGTCCTTAGAAATGTCTCCATGTCTTCGGATTTACCCGGGTTTGCTCTGAATTACCTCCAACTATCCCGAATGACCTGCATTTACCCTGGTTTATCTGGCTTGCGACAAATCGTCAAACCCTAACAAATTTGCTGCATCTTCGGGGGGCCTTCTCTGTCCCGTCGGGCCCCTATCCGCGTCGAAACCGTGACGAGTCCATGTCGGCCTCGTCCAATTCGGTGCCGAGTCCGCGTCGAATCTGCGTTGAATCCACGTCGAGTCCGCAGCGAGCCCGCATCGGGCCCACAAGACACCAATTTGGGAGACAGACGAGGTCCCCTCGGCTACACGTAAGAGTGACCCTGGACAAGAGTGAGCTTTGGTGCGCAGCTCGCTGGCCGTTGCGTACGGTGCGACGGTAGCGGTTTGCGTGCTAGGGCTTGGTCCGGCAGCGACCCCCGAAGGCCGCGCACCAAAGGTCACTCTGGTGAGAGGTTACTCTCACGCGCAACCGATCCCACGAGGAGAAGGAGGAGGAGGAGGAGAGAGAGGAGGATGGGAGGAGGAGGAGGAGGAGGGGGTGGAGGAGGAGGAGGAGGAGGAGGAGAGGAGGAGGAGGAGGGGGAGGAGGAGGAGGAGGAGGAGAGGAGAAGGATGTAACGTAGTAGAGGCCTCCCGGATGGGGACCGAGTAGATGGGGCACCGCATCGGCGCAATCGGCGTGAAGAAAATGGGGCTCTACACCGAGCCACATTGCCGATGCATCGGCGATGCGGCGCGATCCTTCGACCCTGTCTACTCGGACCCCATCTCGGAGACCCAGAGTAACCGAAGGCCGGCGGAGGCGGCGACAGAGAAGTGCGGCGGCGACGCGAGCGGGGCGGCGAGCACGTTCTCGGGCTTCAGGTCCCGGAAGACGACGCCGCGGTCGTGCAGCGACTCGAGTGCGAGGACGAGGCAACCGATGTAGAAGGCCGCCTGCTGCCGGGCAAGCAGGCCTCGGCGGGGAAGGGAGGGATAGCGGGTGTTTCCTCGGACTGCTGCCTGGCAAGCAAGCAGGCCTCGGCGGAGAGGGGGGGGAGGGATGGAGGGAGTTTCCTCCGAGTTTCCTGACACCCGCAGGACGGTTGGGGGATTGGGGGAGAGTGGGAAAAGGCGGATGGGGTTGGAGGGGACGGAGGGGACCAGTCGCAGGAAGGAGGGAGGGGTGAGAGAGGGGGGTCGAAGGGAGAGGGTACCTCCTGCAGCTTATGGATTCATTCATCTGCATGTACATCGATGTGTACATATAAAAGCAAGCACGCCTATACGACCAACCTTCGGGTGATAATGAGGTTGGGGGTGGGGGGGAGGAACTAATGGCTGGCAGATGCGATGGGTGTTCTGATGACGATGCATGTGATGCGCCCTCGAGTTAGCGACACAGAGTGATGATGATGTTGCGCTGCGATGCAATATAACAATCGATCTCGCTTTCGATCTCACTATCGATCTTGCCATCGACTCCTCCATCGATCCCACTACAGACCTCGTTGTCGATCTCGTGTTTGATCCCACTACCAATCCGATCTAGCGAACCTATGGTCGATCTCACTATCGACTTCGCTACCGGAACCAAGGCGGGGCACCCCTGGCCATTACCCGCCCACCGCCGACTGAACACCAACGGGACAACAACGGGACAGCAACGGGACACCACGGCGGGACACCCTCGCGGCCATTGCGTGCCCACAGGGGGCGGAGGGGCGATCCACCGCATCCTGACCGCCCGGGCGGCGGCGGGTTCAATCCTCTCGCGCGGCCACGCAACTTCGCCTCGCCCGCGCGCACGACACGAACACGAAGCCGAAGCCGACTTCCCGGTGGGGGGCTCTCCGTTCCACTGCGATCTCAGCCCCCAACCTCTGATATATGCGCTATGTGCTTGCAAGTGAGCCCTTTGGGCGTATATGGTCTAGAGCGCTTCCCAACCCCTTCCCCATCGGTATGTATCACACTGTTTCGTTTTAGTACGCACCCCCTCACCCGACTCACTGCCAAACCCCCTTAACCCGACCCGAAGCAATGCCACCCCCCTCACCACCACCGTGACTGTATGCCTCTCCACTCTACTGGTCCCTGACCTGAATCAATGCCGACGCCCCCAGCGTTTGTCCAGACTCAATACAACATGCACCTTGCGGCAAACTCGGGATCATGTTCGGGCACGTCGCCATCATCGTGTATTGCATGTTGACATTGACGGGGAGTTCAGACATTTGAGCCACATGTGCACCAGTCCTGTCAAAACCGAATGCAAAGCGCACGCTGCGGCAAAATCTCGGACGATGCGCAGGCGCCTCACGATAATATCGCCCTGGTAATTGACAGGGATGCCTGGGGGTGCCCTGGCGAACCTATCTGGCGTTTGCATTGGTTCCCGGCGGCTGTCAATGGCCACCCCTGCATATGCTGAGACTCGGGTGCTACTTCTAAGGTGGATGAGCGCGTGTGAGTCAGCGAGTCGGCCGTCACTTGGGGGAGGGTGGAATGACCCCTCCCCCTCCCTCATCCCCTGGGCCTGGAAGATCAACCTCCGCGAGCTGTTAAATCCCCCTTGTCCCTACAACTGAACCATATGACAATTGCTCTGATCTCCTCCCCTGACAAATGTCCAGGCGATCACCCGCCCTCTCCGCGTGTTTTTTCGTTTGAACACGCATGAATTCAAACATAGAGCTTCCTTACCGTGGTGTTGCAGTCCAAATGTCATCGGTGTTTCAAAACGGTGCTCCCGCTGCAGACTGGACCTCGTGTCCGGATCGGCGCGTTGCTCCCGTCGCTCCGAATGGCAATGTCGCCCCAACGTGGGCCGCTTTTCTGGACCCGAGTCTTGCTTCATTGCGGTCCCCCCCTCAAGTCCCCTGCGCCTTCCCCTGATCCTGCTGTTCCTCCCACTCCTTCCATTCAGTTTCCTGCTGCCGCTCGTCTCGCCCCAACGCGGGTCACTTTTAGGAATCCGAATATGTCATGATCGTTGTCGCCCTCCACATTTCCCCTCCTCCGCCTTCCGCTGGTCCTCATTTCCCTCCCGATCCTTCCGCTGTAATTTCTACTGCTGCTGTTCGTCCTCTTCCGTTTCCTCTCGAACATGATCCTGCTCACTCGCCACATCCTCCTTCCGTGCAGGCAGCTCCCCATTTTCCGATTGCGCATAACACGAAACGATCTTTGTGTGAGTCGTAGGTCGGCTATGACAGGCGTCCACGGATAGAGAACAACCAACGCCATGGGAAGGGATGGGAAGGAATCATATGATATCAGATGAGGCGCAAGCGCACCTGACTTTCCGTCTCCCCCCTCTCTCCCCCGCTCGCTTCCCCCCGCCCTCCCGCCTCCTCCCCGCCCTTCCAAAGTTCCCTTCCCAGAGACTCCGAGATAAACAAAGCCCACCCTTGTTGTTTCTTTGTCTTAACCTATGCATGCAGGGCAGTTTTTATTACATTGTAATTTAAAACAGATAGGATGTTCAATGCATGACCCATTGATGAATACATGTATGCGTGAACTCATCGTTGTTTTCAATACTAAATCCCTGCATGTTTACTACATGATCCGCTCGCGGAGCATGTGTTAAAAACGGCCCTGTACATGTTTCTGCTCTCAGAGCATCTCGCGTGGGTATCGATTCTGGATGGACTCGTGGTGATACGCGCGGCGTCGATAATGCTGTGTTGCCGCCCCCCCCCCGGGGGGCCCTGCTGACCACGGCCGGGCGCACCTCGGAACACCGAGCAAGATGACATCCAGGAGGGGCCAAAGGACATTGTTAGGGGGAAGAAGCGTGGCATAAACATAAAAACTCGGAGGTTCGCGCGGATTTGTCGGATCGGCGCTGGGGCCCCCTGGCGGCAGCTCCGGCGCCGCCCCTGGCGCGCTCCGCGCGCCAGGGAGGGGGCCCCAGCTCCGATCCGAGAAATCCGCGCGGACCTCTGAATTTTTATGTTTATGCCACGTTTCGTTCCCCTACTGGTGGCTCTGAGCGAAAACGGATGGGCGGAGGGAGGAAAGGGGGATGGAATGCAGAAGGTTTTCGGGGTTGCTCGTGCTTGCAACGGCTTTTAGGGACTTTAGTAAGGTCCCCTCAGACCTGGAAGCCTTCTCGACCCGTCTCTTCCCAGCCCCCCATTCCTCCCTCTCCTCCTCCCTGGCGCAGCCTGTTGCCATAAGAGCAGGACCCTCCACGACCCCCGTGTGAAGCGTTTTTGAAAAGGGGGGATGGGGGGAGGATGGGGACAATGTAGCTTCAGGAGAAGATCTCCTCCTCCAATTCGTTTTCTGTTGCGCTGAGCAGACAGTGAGTGCTATGCTTGCTGCATCCTGATCCTCCTCCTCCTCCTCCTCCTCCTTCCCCTCCTCCCCCTCCTACTCCCCTTCTTCCCCCATACCCCTGCCCCTCCTCCATCTCCTCCTCCTCCTGCTCCTCCTCCTCCCTCCTCTTCCTCCTCCTCCTCCTCCTTCTCCTCCTCTTCCACCTCTTCCTCCTCGCTCCTCTTCTTCCCCCATACCCCTGCCCGCCCCCCTCTCCCCCTCCTCCTCCTCCCTCTCCTCTCCTCCTCCCTCCTCTCTCCTCCTCCTCCCCTCCCTCCCCTCCTCCTCTCCTCCCTCCTCCTCTCCTCCCCTCCTCCTCCTCCTTCCCTCCTCCTCCTCCTCTCCTCCTCCTCCTCCTCCTCCTCCTCCTCCCTCCACCTCCCTCCTCTTCTCCTCCGCCTCCTCCTCCTCCTCCTTCCTCCTCCTCCTCCTCCCCCCCTTCCCCCATACTCCTGCCCCTCCGCCCTCCCGTCCCCCTGCTCGTCCTACCCAGCCCGACCATCGCCCGAGCGCCCCGTCCCTTCCTTCCTCCTCCTCCTCGTCCTCCCTCGCTCCCCTCCCTCCTCCCTCCTCCTCCTCCTCCTCCTCCTCCTCCTCCTCCTCCTCCTCCTCCTCCTACCTCTCCTCCTGCTCCTCCTGCTCCTCCTGCTCCTCCTGCTCCTCCTGCTCCTCCTCCTCCTCCTCCTCCTCCTCCTCCCTCTCGTCCTCCCTTTCCTGCCCCCCCCTCATCCTCCCTCCTCCTCCATCCTCCTCTTCCTCCTCCTCCTCCACCTCGTCCTTGTCCTCGTCCTCCTCCTGTTCTTCCGCCTCCTCCCTCCCCCACTCATCCCACATCATCCAAGCTCCTCCTCCTTCCTCCACCTCCTCGTTTATACCTCTTCTGGGATGGCCTATCTGCCGGATGGTGGTATACAGCTCCCCACCGCTGGCGTACTCCGTGAGGAAATAAAGGAAGGACTTGTCCTCTCGCTGGCTTCAGGTGGGGGCGGGGATGGTAAGAAGCAGGGAGGTCTGCGAGGGAGGGAGGGAGGGAGGGAGTGAGGATGTGAGGGAGGGGGGGCCTGGGAAGGAGGGAGGGAGCCGGAGGGAGAAACGCACTGTCGAGGATTGTGGACTTGGCGAAATCTTGGGCCTTGATCAGAGGGAGGGGCACAGAAACAACGCTGGCCCCTAAATGCCCGCACCCCGTTTTCCCAGGACTGCGGAGGACGTGGGCCGCGATGCACGAGACACAAGGGTGCCAATCACGACTACAAAAGCCTGCGAAACTGGAGCTCACAGCACCTCGCTGCCTTGGCAATCCAGGGTCTGCCAGCCGTGCTGCTGCGTCACGGACGGCCGAAGGATCTGGGCACAAAGCTGCCGACGCGCCAGAGGGGCATCACCCCCAAACGCCAGAGGGTCGCCCTGGATCTGGCAGCAGGGCCGACCGACGACTCAAACTTTAGCTGCGCGGCGGGCAGGGCAGCGCCCACCTGCTACCACCCTCGAACTTATCCCTATCAATAAGATTGGCACGCCATAAAGGCGATGGCAATCTTCGGGGTGCGCCCAACAAAAAAGGAAATCCCGAATATTGGCATCGTGATGAGGAGATGCCCAACCTAGGGATAGGGATATGTTCCAGGCTGGTAGCTGGTGAAGCTGGGCGGGAAGAGAGGGGCCGCGCCGCCTGCAGCAAGAAGGATCGGGGGGTGCGCTGAGCATGACCCTCGAGCGCCGAGCCCGGGCCAGCCGCGTAGGGGTCTGTCGGCGACGAGCCCATGGGGATTGCCAAAGGGAGACGGCTCGGAAAGTTCTGGCCTTCGGGAGAAGTTGTCTAACCGCGAAAAGTCTTTGGACACCTCCAATGAGTGGCATTAATCATTGTTCTGGCGGCGGCTTTATTGACGGACTGGTGCCCCACCAATAGAAGGAGACTATGCGTTTTCTTCCCGCGGCGCCCGCCAGCAACGCTTCCATGGAAAATCTGAATTCAGAAGTTCGGCCCTGAAAGCTCCATTCCGAGAAAAGACATTTGAAACTCAGGCCCCGCGCGGGACCTCGGATATCCATCCCTTGTCGCATGGGCACTACGCAACACCATGCTGGCCGCGCGCGCCGACAAAGCGCCGGCGGGAGCTGTGCCCGCAGACGGAAGCGGCTTCTCTCGGGAGCGGCCAGGAGGGGGGCGTCCAAGAGGGGGGGGTGCAAATCATGACCGGCGGCACGTGCGCGGCCCAGCGAGGGGGCCAGGAACGTAATGAGATAAGAAGAGGCGCCATGAAATCTGGGGAAATACCATGGCCCACGCCATGATATCCCCCCCCCCCCCCTAGTCATCACCCCCCTCTTCTCCGCCCCCGATTCTCACGAGGCCCGAAGACTTGGGGGGCGAAACCCCGCCGGTTCCCGACGAGGCCGCCCGCGCCCTCTCTCGCCCCCCCCCCCCCCGTCGCGCCGCTGAGCCGGAGCCGTCGCGCCAGGCCGCCACGTCGACGCGGGCGCACCTGGCCGGGGGGGGGGGCCCAGCAACCGGCCCGCGGCGGGCCCGCCAGAGGCGCGGGAAGGGGGCCGCGACAGGATCGCGAGCGCCCTCCTATGCGGCGCTTCGACATTGGGCGGGAAGGGGGGGGGGGGTCTGACCTTGGACTGCTTGCAGCAGCGCGTCTTGCGGAGGGGAGGGGGGGCCCCCCGCCTATTCTGCGTTTCGACGTTGGCGCTTCGACATTGGGCGGGGAAGGGGGGGGGTCTGGCCTTGGACATCTGCTGCGCGCGACTGTTTGCAGCAGTGCGTCTTATGGGGGGGGGGGCTCCGCCTGCTCGAGCCAACCGCCCGAAACAGCCATGAGCTACTCCGTGGGGCGGGAGGGTAGGGTGCGATGGGGGGCCCGCGCCGATCGGCAAAACAATGAATGTGAAATTCGCTGTAATAGCTGCTTGGAATACAAAGAGACACGACGTGCAAATGGGGGGGGGCGCCGTGCTGACAGAGCACGTTCTCTTGCCTTCCGCCGGGGTTCGCGCGCGCCCGCTGCCAGCGCGCCGCGCACATCAAGGGCCCTGCAATCCGAGGCGGCCTCGGGGCAAGGGAGGTGAGAGCGAGGCGCGGGAAGAGGAAGGACTGAAATGGGAATAACAACCACAGCTCCGATCTCTCTGTTCCGGCCGAAACCTCAGCCAAGGCCGCAGATCATCGCCGGCTTCTTATTCAGGTCGTAGCCACTCTGATCGTAGCAATTCGCGACGCCCGTGACTTCGCCCCCTCCCCTGGTCACCCGTGACAGGCGGCCGCTCTAGCCACGCGCGCGCGGATGTCTGTGGGGGCACCTCAGGAAGGATCCCCAAAAGGATTGCCACTCCTCTGCCTATGATCGGGCACAGACTCGCCCGAGGTCGTTAGTGGGATCGATAGCGATATCCAAAATTAACGTTGGTTCCCGGAGGGGCGGGGATGCAAAATGAACGAAATTAATTATTACGTCGCTGGATCCGGGGGGGGGGGGGGGGGGATGGTGCCAATGCGCCCGAGAGCGAAGGGCGAAGTAAACCAGGCGACACCAGGGCCCCGAGAGCGAGCGGCCACGTAACAATCACCGCTGTTGCCCATTGCTGCCCCCCCTGCCCCCAACCTCCTTATCGCCCGCAGGGTGGTCGTATAGGTATAGTTAACATGTTCTGGCGTAGCCCATGTAGCTCAAGTATGATTCAATCCTGGTTCAAATTATGTTCGCGATCAATTCCAGAGTAGTGCAAGTGTAGATCCAGTTCTCTCAGCGCACTTCAAGCTAGGATTAAATGCAGTTCGGGGGTCATTAAGGCGAAGTGCAGCTGCGGTTCAGGCGCGGTTCAAGTGTAGTTGCGGCGGGGCGCGTGCGCAATCCAGGCGCAACTGGGGCAAGTCGCGTGCAAGTCAAGCACGGTGCGCGCGTTTTTCCGGCGTGCTTCAAGCGTGGCCCAGTCGCGGCGCAAACAATGCGCCCGCCCTCCTCGCGCGCCGCAGCACGGCAGATCATTTGCACGCGGGCGTCGTTCAGGCGCATTGCATGAACGCTGCAGGCGTTGGCGCCCGAGCAACCCGCGCGCGCAACGGGCGCGGCGGCGCCGCCCCGCCCGCGAGAAAGCACGCGCGCCCGAGCGCGGGCGTTTGGCGGACCAGCCGCCAGCTAGGGGCCGCGCGTGGCCCTGCGAGCCCAGCGCAGACGCGCCGCGCCGCCGTGGCCGACGGCCGCGCGCAGCGCAGCCTGGCCCGCGCGCGCTTCAGGTGCACTCAACGGCGAGTTCGCGCGCGGCGCAAGCGCGCGCCTTCGAGCTGCCCCCCCAAAAAAAATCGCGAGCGCGATGGCGGCGCGGCGTCGTTGATTGTCGCGCGTCGCCCGTGCCCTGCGCCGCGCGGGCTGGCGGCCGCGCGGAATCCCACGCGCGCGCGACGCTGGCGGCGGCGCGGCAGCTCGCCCCTTCGCGGGCAGCGACCGAACGCCCCGCCGACCTCGGCGGCGCGCAGGTTGCCGAGCGCCCCGCGGCGATGCATGCGCGGCCAACGCACGCAGGGACCACGAGCCAAGACATGGGCCGCGGACTGCTGAAATTTCAAGGCGTGCGCGCCACGCGCCAGCGCGGCCGCCCTCCCCGCGCAATGCCTTTTTCATGCGCCAGGTGCCCTCCCGGTCCATGCGCGGCCCCATCTCCGACGCGCCGCGCTAGATTGCGCGCGCGGGCGTGGTTCGGGCGCGCCCTGTGCGTCGCGAGTGCAGCGGCGTCGCGGCGCAACCCGCGGCGCGCGCGCGCGCGGTCCGCCCGCGGCCCAGGGCGACCCCGCCAGCGGCCCGCTGCCGCGGAAGAAATAATCCAACCACGGACGGCCGCAGAGGGGCCGCAATGAAGGGGGATCGCCGGACACATCAGAGAAGCATGCAAGGCATGCAGAAGTCCCGCGCAGCGTTCTCCCAGTGCTGTCCCCACTTGCTTCGCGCAACTCTCGGCGCTGAGGATCCGACAAAATATCAAATGCCTCTCGTGTACAGACGAACGCGACATCAGCTCCATCTGTCTCGTCTTCGCTAAGCGGGGCCGTCATATCTGGATACCAAAACTCGGCGCATTCTCGATGCGCATTGTTTCAAAACCGCTGGAAAAAAGGCGTCGCGTCTTACCCGCAGCGCACCATATCGCCCGCCGCGCGCGCCTGGGCCAGCACCCCCCCATTGCAAAATATCCGCCGCCGCGCCCTGAGGCGCAAGCTGGAGCGTCCTCAGGTACCTGGAGGTCTCCGCTCCAATCCTAACCGTTGGAAATAAAAGGCCCGCGCCCCCATGTGCCAGATTCTCCGAGGCCCCCGCGCGCCCCCGCGCGACGCTTTCTGCGGCCGGAGCGGGTCGCCCGAAGATCGCCCCCAGACGCCCATGATGGCTTACAAACGGCCCAGGAAGCCCCAAACACGCCCCACAAGGGCTACAAGAGGCCCCCTAGGGGGGGCCCAAGAGGCCAAACCACTGCATGCCGCTGGCACTCGAACAAGTTTGGCGTTCTCGCCCTCTCGGGCTTTCGACCGCTTAAGACGGCTGAAGCCTGAAGGCCCCGACGGCAGCGCCCGACGGCCCAAGAAAGGTCCACAACCACGCCCAAAACGGCCCCAGGAGGGAACACTCGAACTTACGCCGGACTCATTTCTATAGCGCTCACTTCTATACTGCCCATATCCAAATAGAATTCCAGGAGGGGCCGAACATGCAGGCGCTCGCCGCGCAGTCGCATGCGCGCGCCTATGCAACTTAACGACAGCTTCTACAGCAGCGCCGCACGTGCGCGCACATGCCGCGCACTCTGGCTGGCGCTCGAGCAGCAATGCCGCGCCTAAATAATGGGTGCGGCAGGCGACAACACCAATCCAACACAGGGATGTGGACAGCGCCGCGGGGACGCACGCGGCAAAGGGCATCTCGCAACGTAGACTTGCGAGGACCTCTCAGGCAGAAGTGGCTGCG